GAGCTCGGAGGCTCCCAGAGCTGTGCTCAGCCGCTCTTGGTTCGAAGGAGCGAACACCAGAAAATCTGCCCCACACACCCATGGGAAATCAATGAGTTTGCCCTCCTGGGGCATTATTGGGGGTATTGGTGCCCTCTTGCTTTGGAGCTCTCTTGGACATACTTGACGCCATCCTGGCCGTTTTCGAGCGCTCTTGAGCCATCTCTGTGCCTTCTTGGCCTGGCTTGGATGCCTCTGGGGCCGTCTTCAAACCCTTTTTCCTGGGCATTCCTGGAGGACCCGGGGGGGAGGGCAAGAAAGGAGGCCCGCCGTCATCGACACATGCATACATAGACATACATCGACATACCTGTAGACACATGTACAAACATATGCATGTGCGCATACAGACGAACGAAGTTGTGAACCGATCTACCTACATGTACATACTTACATACATGCATGCATGCATGCATGCATACATACAGGCATGCATGCATGCATACATATCTACATACATACGTACGTACGTACATACGCACGAGCGTACATACATACATGCATGCATGCATACATACATACATACATACATACGCACCTAGACATACATATATGCATGCATGCATGTATGAACACATGCACATGTGCATGCACACATCCTTACATACGAATACACACATACATAGATGCATGTATCCATACAGTCACACATACATACATATACATATATATGTACACATACGTACGTTCATGCAAACATACATGCGTTCATGCATACATACCTACCTACGTTCACATACACATGAAAAAGAGTGCACGTATGTATACATACAGACGTGCATCCATGCAAACAGTCATACATACATGCATACATGTATGCATGCATAGATACACACCTGCATATATGTATATGAATACGTGGCCACACACATGTATGCATCCATCCGTACGTACGTACACAAATACATACATGCATGTACACGTATAAAAATGCATACAAACATCGATACACACATCCATGTATACATACATGCCTACATACATACATCCATGCATCCATACATATAAGCAGGCATCTATCCATACGCACATACAGCTACACACACACACATACAAGCAGGCAAAAACAAACACATACACATATACATGTCTACAAACAGCCAAACAAACAAATATGTATTACATTACACTACATTTCAATACCTCAAATACACTACATTACAACTCATTACAGTATATTACATTGCCTGGTACTCCATAGCATTCCATGACATGTCGTTTAGCTCCACTGCATTGCATGTCATGCTAGTACATTACAGTCACTACATTATACTACAACACATCACGCTGCATACGCACATGCAAACATACACACTTTTTTGATTCGCGGGTCGAGAGCGCACCTCTTCCGGTCGGAGCTAAGCGGGCCGCGCGAAGCTTGAATTACGTGCAGACATAGACACATACATACACATACACACACTTGCGTGTATGCATACACACATGCATACATACATACACATACACATGCGTACGCGAGCAGACGTTATCGACACACACTTGCGCAAGAGGACAGATTCTCGATGCCAGCGCTGTTTTCGGAGGGGTGCGAGAGCGGGGCACACTGCAGGGCTTGGGGCTCCAGTGGAGCCCCAGATCTGGCCGAGACTGGCGCCTTCCCACAAGACGCCGACCACGGCACCCCCACAGTTTTGGGACGCACATTCGACGAACTGGTCCTAGATGTCCTCCATGGAAGCGCGCGTCCGACCCAAACATAGAATATGTCCACATTGTTTTACATATATATATATATATATGTATAGATGTATCTATAGTATATGTGTATATAAACAAAAAATACTTTAAAAACAAAAAACAAGAGAAAAAAAAAAAAAAAAAAAAAAGAGAGAGAGAGAGGACAAAAAACAAAAAAAGTTTACGGCGCAATATGGCCAGAAAGAGCCCGTCACGGAGCTTCCACTGCAAGATTTCCCGGCGCGCGCGCGCCGCCCCTTTGGAGGTAGCGCACACATAGTAGAAGTATGGTGGGGTGACGCAGATGTGTCATCTCTATCGGCCGAAACTTCGACCAGCGCGCACGTGTTTCCAAGTTCGCGGCCCGAAAGGGCACCAACCGAGCAGCACAGATGCATCAGCCATGAAGACTTGGGGGACACCACCGGCCGCTAGAGAGATAAAGCAAGACCAACTCCAGAGGAAATCCAAGGATACCGATACTGCTACTCCCCAGACCTCTCCCAGAGTTACGATACCTGGTGCAATGTAAGGCTACGCGAAACTGTGCGAGGCAACACGATGCCCATCCAACGCACTAGTACGCAATGAAATGCTACGCAATGCGATACAATGCCATACTACGATATGAAATCACATGCTGCGCAATGAGACTACACATGATTACGATTAGCACTTCGCAGCTGACTCCGACCTCTACTGCGCGCATGCTTCTAGCACGCATACTCGTCCATGCGAATATCGATCGGCTCATCCTGCACCC